CAACATTGTAACAGAGGCAGACTACAAGCAAACATTGGATATTGTGATAAGTGACAACATTCATTCAATCCATCTACAGACAACATCGGATATTACAGAAAGACAACACTGGCGACAGGAAACACGCCGAGTATCGCCAAAGAAGGCAACATTTTAGCAACTCAACGGTAGCATCAGAAAACTGGAACATATTGGATACCGTTAAAAAAAAGTGTATTGAAAAGCAGGGAACATTGTAGTAGAGAACGAAAGCAACACATCTTGCAGATACTACTAGCCGACGACAGGAACATATAATCTGCCACCCCGCCAACAGGAACACTGTAACACGACAGACGGGAACACATCGGACACAAATGGAATGTTATGCAACATTGTAGGACTAACACTATAATGCCGTGGAAAACAGAAGACCTTGTAAGAGACCGTGGTTTGTCTTCAAAAGAAACAGTAAGGGAATTTGTGTACTTGGCCTATAAAATAATATCAAGCTGCATTTACAGATCCGAACCGAAATTATGACCGCGTTTCTGAAGCGCTGAAAACCAACGTCCCTATAAAATTCGGTGTGAATGCACCCTTAAGACTACTTTCATAAGAGTGTATGACTATTTCCAAGCTCTGTTGAAATTATTGCACTTTGCTGTTTAATCAATTGAAACCTAATGGCTAATGGCTACAAAGTTAGAGATTTAGGCGCGCCATAGCTGAACAAACTAGAACAAACTAAGTCACAGCGCCGCGCTATTCTGAAGAAGAAGCCGCGATGTCGATGATGATACTATAGCATACGAAATATTGATCACCCTAACCATAAGTTTTTTTGAGTTTTACAGATTGAATCTAAATAAAAAATATACAATAGGCACTGCCCGCATTTGAACCTGGAATCTCATCTTTTACTAGAACGACGCTTTAACTAACTAAGGCACATTGTAAATGGCTGCATCATCTCAAGTTTAGGCAGTTGAAGAAATGAAATCTTGGCAAAACTAGAAGAAAATATTGTTGTTGTTGTTGTTGATGAGGATAATGATGGGATGATAGTTATAAGGATGATGTCGGTTTGTACCATATAGCTGGGGAGTACAGTATTACTAATTGTTTGTTGACAACAATCTAAAAGAAAATTAGCCAATAAATAAAAAATAAAAAAAACAATATAAAAATGTTTTATTACTTTAAAAAAATAAAAAACTAACTAATAAATAAATCAATAAGAAAATAGGCACTGCCCGGATTTGAACCGGGGATCTCCTGTTTACTAGACAGGCGCTTTAACCAACTAAGCCACAGCGCCGCTTACTTACGGCTTCTTTATCCCAATTTAGGTTTGTTAGCTTTATTAACCGGATCGATAATTATTATTGCAAATTATAAGGATGATGTCGGTTTGTACATATAGCTGTGCAGTACAGTATTACTATTTTCACAATCAAATTTGTTGAATTGTTACAGAATAATTTATATTTAAAAAGAAATCTAAAATTAAAAAAAATCAATAAATTTAAAAAGAACAAAAATGTTGTATCATTACTTTAAAAAAATAAAAAACACTTAATAAATTAATTAAAAAATAGGCACTGCCCGGATTTGAACCGGGGATCTCCTGTTTACTAGACAGGCGCTTTAACCAGCTAAGCCACAGCGCCGCTTACATACAATGGCTTCACTATTCCAATTTAGGGTTATTGGCTTCATTTAACCATTAAACGGATCGATAATTGCTCCACGTTGCAAATAAAAAGTCTGTTGGTAATCTATGAACAGACGATACGTTGCGGTGTGTATAAATAACAACACTTTAAATATATGGGTTTATATATCAAGTTTAAAAGCGAATTAAATTGTGAGTGAAGTAGTGGTAAGCATAATATGAATTATAGGCCTAACTGAAAAAAAAATGGTCAGATTGAACCAGTGATCTCTGTAGGCAGACTCTTTACACAAATAAACCACTTCATCATTTTGAAACGGCTAACTTGACTTTTCTATGGCGACAGTGTTATCATAGTTTTAGTTTTGCAATTGTATTATAAACCACTACGGTACCTACAGTGATATCATTAAAGCCCCGATTAATTTGAAACATTACAAGCATATCGTCCAAAAATCATTTGTACAGACACAGTACAATAGCACTTCGTATCAATAATGGGGTTATCGATTTAATTTGATAATGTTGCCATGATATAATGGACTTTGCAACTAAGACCTGCCCTTGTGTACTTTCTATACGGTACGGTATGGGACCTAGCGCAGCGTAGACGTGCGTAAACTAGCGTGTTCATGGGACATATGCGTACCCCTGGCTATAAAATAACAAGATTTCATTGGTGAGTAAATTTTAATGGCACTTTGGATTTGAGGGATTATTACAAAAAGAAATCACATTCAAAAAGAAAACTTAAATACAGTAAACAATAATAAAACCCTCTACCCCCACCAGAAAAATTATAGAGCCACAACATATAAACAAAAAAGGAATCAGTAGGCACTGCCCGGATTTGAACCGGGGATCTCCTGTTTACTAGACAGGCGCTTTAACCAACTAAGCCACAGCGCCACAGTTGATATGCTTATCAGTGTTGACTTAATTTGTCGGGTCTATAATAATTGCTCCGCGTAAGCTAAATAATCAACTGCAGTAACCCACAACACCATTTAAAACCAAAACGACTAATCCGATATTTTACTTTGGATATTTTGTGCTTATGGTACCTCATAATCCAGCTTAAACGTACGTAACTTGCGTGTTTGTGGGACATGCGCGTATTTCTGACTAATTAAGTAGCACGTTCTCATTAGTCAGCTAACTTTGAGTGACACTCAGGAAATTATGGTCGATGCGTGTTACGTCTATATTATATATATTGTTAGTTGCCATAGAGAGTTGAACATCTTCGAAGCCGTTAAAAAATACATATTAACACCATGATGATAATGAGTAGTAATAGTCTGTTGAGATGTTGATGACAATTTTTAAGAATCATGATATTCACTATGCTTTTATTTGCGCATGATACATTTACTTGATATAATAATTGAAAGTGGCTTAATAGGGCATAAATAATGATCTGAATTACTGATCATGAACAGTACCGTAACTTCTTTCTAAAGTATCTTTTTGTGTACTAGACATGGTGCCTCTTTCGCCGCACCAAGGCTATGTACATATCTGTTACAACTGGAACTGTATACATTTTACAGTCAAATAGATGGGATTGTTTCGTTATTGATTTTAACAGTAAACCAGCAGAAAAAAGTAAACTTAATTTAAATAGGCATGATTAACGTTATTTTTGATAATAGAATGCTTTCTGTGCGCGTGACTGTGTGTAATTACTGTAGCATCCGTGTTTTCGAGATGATTATTATTATTGTTATTATTATTATTATTATTATTATTATTATTATTTTTACTAGTATTATCATTATTATATTTTAATAGGCCTAATGATAATGACAATTACAATAAGAAGGATAAATACAATGATATTGAAAAATATTAATAATGAATAATAAATAATAATAAATTATATGTAGGCCTAATGATTAATTATGATAATAGTAATAAGGACAATGATCAATGAGGATGTAGTTTTCACATACGGTAGCCTACGTAGGCATAGTGAAAGAGCGACGCTGCCTCGACATCGGTTGTTGGATCCCCCTCTTGAAACCAATCCAAATTATATACCCTTTTGGCAATTTCAAAATAATTTACCAGTCAGATATATACTTTTAATTAATACATTTTTATAATTGATAACTCCTATAACATTTGCAAATCGATGACGCACACTGACGCACATACCCCAGTGGGGTCCTCTGTCTGCAGGCCTATATATTCAGATACAGAAAAACCAGAGACAACTATTGAATATATTACATATTATATAGTTGTCTCAGATTATAATCGTCAAACGAATTATTTTCATTTCCATTCATCTCGTTCACATACATGTAAACCTAGTAGAGAGCTTGGTGATCAAGATCTTTGCCTTTCAACCTACGTCCTGGTTCTAATCATGTGGCACAGGTGTCCTCGACTAAAATCATCTCCACTCACTGCGTAATGCATTGGCAGATTAGGAGTATACTGTTTTATTTCAAAGGACCCTGAGAATATGAACCGAGTTTCTTGGATTAGCTGGAATATTAACCTTCAATAAATAATCATAAACTAGATTTCAAATAAATACCGTATAGTTTTATAAATTGGACACATATTTAAAAAACAAAACAAAAATGGAAGCTTTATCTCTTTAAGCCTCCTCTGAGACTAACTTATGTATGTTAATCTATCACCTACATCCGTACCTTACAACATATTACACGAGTACTGTATAACTAATCGTAACTAATTCTTTGGCTGCTAGATATATAATCATTTAATAAAACTGGCTCTTGATTTTAATAAGACAAAGGAATGGGACATCAACGCGTTACATTGTAACGCGTACAGTGAACACGTCACCAATTTGGATCTTGCTGTCCACACTATTATGTTGTATGCCCATAGATATGATGTGCCGTATGTATAGTTATAATGTGATGTAATCATGACCATATTTAGGCATATCAGCGTCTTGAATTGGCGCTATATAAATATTTGGCATCATTGTTATTTATTATTAATTATTATTATTTTATCATTATTATTATTATTATTATCATTATTATCTTTATTATCTTTATAATTATTATTATAGTCTGGAGAGTTCCGTGAGAATTCTCAGCAAATCTATTGCGTAACTTTACATAGGATGACTAACATGACGTACCGGGTAGTTTTTTCTTATTAATATCGACAAAAACTCGTGACCAATCATTAAAGAATATAAACAATGGCCTATAGGTCATAGTTCACATAGGCCTACTTAACTGAGGAATCGGTTCCTTTAAACCAACTTGAAGTCATCATTATTATTAAATTATTTGAATATTCTTTAATTCATTCATTCATTAATTATAGGCCTACTGTACTGTTTGTAGCCTTTGACTTTCTGTGCTGTCGATAGGCTCGACTAACGTCACTATACAGACCAGAAAAGATATTCATCTGGTTCCAAGAAAAAAGTCATACAGATTTCATCATTAGCGATACGCGATAAACTCCGATAATGTTCTTTAAATTATATTAATATCTCCTGTTTATATTTTACTTCCGTTTTTGTGCGACGAGCTGATTTGTCGGTTTTCTGTGGTCAATCACGGAAATTAGTCAACAATACAAAGTACAAAACTAGCGGAATCTAATCATATCATCATATACTGACTTTAAATCGTCAATTAGTTCTCATTTCAATTGACAGCAGATATCTCGGTGAGTGAAGAACAACTTTATTCCGCTTAATAATTAGTATCTATAAGTCATGAGGGTTATGGAAATATAGTTATCGGCAGGTAATTTCTTATACAGAAGATGCAGTTAACTGTATGTCTGAACTGAGTAAACTGTCTAGTAGATATTGCAAAGGCAACAAACACAAACAAGAGGGGGCATTGATTAACTTTGCTCTTGTTACAATGATATCGGATTAAAGAAACAACACTACCAGTCTGTGTTTATGTTCTTTCGGCTCATCTACTCCATTGTGCGTTTTTCACCGAGGATCTTTCAGGAACCAATCAAGCGCTAAAGAAGTGGATATCAAGGTTTCACTGAGAGTGAATCCTACAGTTGGCCCCAAATGAATGGTAGTGAACGGTCGATACACAACTAAGGGCCTATTGAAAAATTATAGACCTGATTTCTCCGAACGTCTTTTTATGACAGTAATCAACTTGGCCTGCTTCATGTAGTCCTATGTTTCTTTGAATTTGAAAAGAAAAGCTATAGAAAACTGACGAGTTTCCACACATGTAAGTACCATAAGAATTGAATCATGCCCACATGCATCTGATGGGGGGGGGGGGGAGGATTTTTGCTGACATGGTTGTAAACACCTGTCTCTTATACACATCTAGATGTGTATAAGAGACAGGACACGAAGGGACCCTTAGGGGCGAAGAAAGTCATTGATCGAGTTCCTAGTCCACATTTCAAGCGCCCTGAGCATCTTACATTAGATGGATTTGTGCGCTATATAAAACTACACTATTATTATTATTATTATTATTATTATATCAAAAAGAAATACAGTACTGTGGTTACAAATAATACTGAAAGATATGTCAGCCTTAATTTTGTTAAAGCAAGGTTAAAGTCATCTACCTTAGTAGAAATAGGCCTCTTGGCTACATTTCCAATTCCATTTCTGGATAAGCACGCTCTACTTGTACCGTATGTGTTGGTACAATGACAAGAGTTGGTCCATGTTAATAGGTCCATGGTCCAAGTAGGTCCATGGAGGTAAAGGTCCATTAATAGAAATAGACCTAACTATAAAAACAATGACGTCATCAATTGTGTTTCTTTATGTTCAAGACGTCAGCGATTTTGCTACGTGACTGTTCTCTACAACACATGGCAATTAATCTCGTACTGGAAAAATGTATTAAACAGTTGACTAATGTATTACGGTATTTATTGATTACCAGAGTGATGTTGCCTTTTTTAGTGGGACCGGCACAGACTCTGGTATAATATATCCATTAAATGTTGCATAATTGTTTCCGGTATTATTATTCGGTATTTTAGTGTTAAGTATGTCTAAATAGGTCTACAACATATTCAAATGTCTTGCCTATTTCAACTCAATTTGTCGGCACCATAGAACACGGTTTCGGCTCAGTAGCATCTAAATGACGTTTAATTACAAGTCATTGAAGCGTTAATGGGACACTTGTTGCTATCACACCTATCGAATACCTTATGGGCGCCACAAAACGAAGTCTTGACACCTCAGAACATCACTGCTTACGTTAGCATAATGAGGAGTTAGAGCCTGCATTTAACACCTCTATGCGTATTGTAAACCTTGTCAAGTATGATTTAATACAGATTAGCGTACCGTTGCTTTTATGAACTGTCACCTGGGCTGAAAATGAGTTTATTTATTTAAAGCGTGAAATGCATTGTATTTCTTTAAGTAATTGATAGATAGGCCTAGCTAAATATAATTTAAGAATAATGATGGGACTGAAGTTTGAACTATATGACTTTTCCATGGGTAGCAGAAAATTCTTAGCCCGGACGAACTGGAGCCATGACTTTTCTCTGACATTACAAACTTACAGATTATTTGTATGCCTACTGTGTGTATAGGGTGGGGTGAGGGAGGGGCAGGGTGGGGTGGGGTGGAGCAGGGTGGAGGGGCTCTTGGACCCTCGTAAGGGGGAAGGAACAACCAAGTCTCAACCCTCAGACTATCAATATAGGAGCATTTTGGCCCAGCAGTTTGGACTTTTATGGGTTAGTCTTATTTTACGCCAAATAAATCCAATAAATTCCAGATCGATGTATGTTAGGCCTACTTGTTTTGTAATTTTTCGAAAATATTTACGTATACTTGTATTTATGTTCATTAGAGAACGAAGGCAAGACAAAGACATTCGAGGCTAGAAATGACGATGGAGGAGGACGACGTACTATATAAAAGTTCGAATGACAATAGCTACATTGCCGACCTGCTTCGCGAGGTAGAGATTAAAATCGGTCCAATACCACCAAGTCTTCTCCCAGCCGCTCTTGACGGCCCCAGAAATTTCCAGGACAACGCGGATTCGCACATCGAAGAATACCAAACACATTTTCGCCGCAAAGAAGGAAGCGAAGATTCTGGAATTATTCTTGATATGAACGATCCAGATGAGTTTGCTAGGTGTTACTTAAAAAGGGCAGGGCATAAGGTTGTGTCAATGGACGTCGATAAAAATTCAAATATACAGCCAAGTCCGGTCACGAAGCATACTGATAGGGTACATGGGATTGACCAAAAACTCGAAAAGATAAAAGATATCATAGTAAGTAGAAATTACGGATCATTATTAATTTATTATTATTAAAACCAAAAATAACAATAATATAAATGATCTTACTATTAATATTAATAACAACAAGGATGATGATGATGGTGATGATTATGATGATGAAGATGATGATGATGAGAACGGGAAAGATGATCGTGATGATGACGAAATTGTGGACAATGATGCTGATTTTGATAGTAATAATAGAAGTCATTCGCATATTATTAGGTAGGTGTACCCATGTACACTGCGAGTGTTTGCACTTCCACTGTTAGAAGTCAATTCGCAGATTAAAAACCTTTACCGGTTCTCTGGGGGCGCATTTAGCATCTATCAAACCTAATCGAGCATAATGTGCGATAATGCGTGTTTAAATTGTGGGCGCTAGAAAAAACACCACCTTTTTAAAATAATTGTCATAGTTATTCCTCAGGGTATTCAATAAGTAACTATTGTAGATTAAGGCCTTTGGTCAAAAGGAAACCCGGTATTCGTCACAATTCGTAAATATCGTTAATCTTAACCAACTTTACTGATAACTGGAAGTTGGACTTCTTTCGTATATGCCTATTAGGCCTACTTTGTTCCTTAACCTCTTTAATTACTATTTATTATTTATTTTATTTATTAAGCTTCATCACTGCACACACAACGAGCAAAAGTAACATAATAACAATACAGAAAAAGCAGCGAATTAGATTTATCTTCTGGGTTTACCTTAAAGTCACAGCAGGTATAATTTATTGAACGAATACCGAAGACCAAAGAACGAATATATATTTTAAAACAAGAATTAAATAATAGGCCTACCACGCCGAATAGGCCTATGTTTTGATATGAAAGAATATAATATTGTTTTAGGTTATAAAAAGGGGTACTGTATAGTGTATTTAAATTAAATAATATATATAATTTAATGATTTAGTTGGAGTACAATCATTAGTTATCGTCTACCGTAACCATGTCTGTGCTTACAAAAGGCCTACGTACAAAATTATTGTTGCTGGTCACTACACATGTCCACATGATGCGGCTCTATTGAAATATATCTAATGCCATGCTAATGAGGCAGGATAGCGGAACTAATCAATTGTGTGTATAGTGTGCTGTTATTTCATACTGACCAGCATGCCTTCCTTGTGTAGTTTGCACCGACTTCAGAAACGCAAAAACCATTACTTGTGTGTAAATAATCAAGCGTTACAAATCGCAAGAACCACGCGTGATACCAAATAATTATTGTGGTGGTGTGCTGGCCAAAAATGAGTGGAGGTTTTAGAGCTTATTCGATTGTTAAAAGTATATTATCAGTTTACATTTGTTTATATGAACACATTTTATAAGAACACAGAGACTGAAATTGCTTAAAAAATAAGAATAAAATGAGCCTTAGATTTTTTTTTTAAACATCGTTAAATCTATTTTAAAAATTAACAAAGCAAGGTAGTCACACACAGTATCGATGTTTAAAGGGTTATTTTATACAGTACTGTATTCTTTATAAATACAGAAAAGTAATAGGCCTAACTGATGTATAATAATTTCAATCTTTAACAAGTGTAAAATAAGAATAAAATTTTGGGTCCGAAAGTGGCCAAAATATAAGAATACTAAGTCTGGGCAAAATTGTACTGGTTCTTATAAAAAAAAAGTGATGTCTTCGTTGGTTGGCGGTCTTTTAAACAATCCGGCATTATGCAAACTTTTCGCAAGATACGGTACTAAGAGAGAGGGAAGATTAGAGAAAGAGACAGTAAAATGCTCAATCAGTGAATACAAAACTTAGGCCTATCTAGTCAGATTAAACTTGATGCTTCTGGGTCTAACACTTTTAGGATTTAATGTCAAAAGTTAATGAAAAGATAAACATTGTGGGTTTTTCGAGTATTGTATTCAATATAATTAAGGTTATCTTGAGGTATCTCCCTCTTGTGGTTTATCTGCGCAAAGTAAATCTTCTGTGTTGGCCTAAACACTTAATACAATTGAAAACCTTATACTGTAATCCTCTTCCAGAGAAGTTTCTTTGAATGTACCCTTGAAATGTAAAGGCCTACTAATGTGTACGGATAATCGTAAATTAGAGAGCAGGCACAGATGTGCGACTGTAATCGGAATAATTGTACAGGTTTATTAAGTCGGTTTTCATTTAAAACAAAAACAAAAAACAAAAACAAAACAAAAAAACTCTACGCTGTCGCTACAGTTTTCAGAAAGAGAGGGTACGTATTGTACTGACCAACTCAGTGTCATTTCCGGGTGTGTAAAAAAATGTCGCAATCTGTCAATATTTCAAGTGGGCAATAATAATGTCGTATCATCCGTTATTTGAACTTGTTACATTAAAATGTGGACAGAACGTTAGTGAAAGTTTTTGCCGCTTATTATGCAGCACGCCTCAGACATCGACAGCGGTAAAATACATACTTATTTGCTATGGATGCATCTTGCGCCCGCTTTCATTTTCAATTATTTTTTGTTAACTGCATAAATCATAGAGGATCCAACATTATTACGGTTTTTACATTTTTGACACTCGGTGGTATGAATCCGCTGGAAATAGCGCGGTATAATGTTTATAGTAGGCCTAGATAGAGCGCGCTAACTTTTATTTGGTCCGCTACAAAAATCATTAGTGAATGACGTTGTCGTTTGTGTCGACAAGTCTTAACATTATTCTAGTGTAAACGGATTTTATAGGCCTCATTGGTCCCTTGTTTAAATATAAGCATACAATAATCTGTTAATTTGTTTCTGGATACATTTTTTGTTCATTTCAGGCAGAAATAAAGGAATCTGATGCCAGGCTTATGCAACAGTTTTTATATATTCATGATGGAATAGAGGAGATAAAATGGGCTAAGGAGTACTATGAGCCCTCCGGCTCATGCGAGTCAATGTCTTACACCTCTCGAGAACAGCTTAATGAATCGATGGATCTGCTTCATGAAAAATGGAAACTGAGGAGAAACTTAGCCGGCTCAAGTGAACTTCTGGCTGTTTATGAATCAAAAGTCAGTCTGCAGAACTTGCTAAAAGGGAGAACGGATCGCACTTCGCAACGTCACTACGCACTAGGATGGTATGGAAAATCGAACGGTCGGAACACTTCGTTAAAAAATGATTTAATGCATCCAGAGGCGTACCTTGATCGGAAACGCCGAAGTAGCGTAGGTGCAATGTTCCAATCGGAAGTGAATACTTCGGCTGTTCGTCATGACCGAAGGAAATCCTCTGCCGGTATAATTTATCCGATTCCATCAAGTTACGTCTCGCCTACTGAACTAAATGTCCTAGAAACAAAGTTCAAAGAGGCATTAACAATGAACGATTCTTCGGATACCGCTTGTCTTTCTTTATGACGTTGAGCATATAGGTAGCAGACGATTTAACTAAATTACTAGGCCAAATAATATTGTATATTCAACGATGATAATACTGAAACTTTGTAAAAGTTTGGGAAAATACCATTTCGTGTAGACACACATCGACGGTCATAGAAAGTAAAACAAATAGCAGAGCTTCCAACAAACAATTGTGGACTTTGTATCAATATACTGCAGCTTAAATGTAAAGTCAAATATGTCACATCGTGTTTGAACTTAACGTAGGCCTACATTAGCAGATAATCTGTACAGTATTGTGATATGATGGATATTAACCGGACTGACTTCGATTCCCCGTATGGACCTATTTGTCTTTGAAGGCCGGGGATTTTTCCTGTTCGTTATTATGCTGTGTATAACATTTTGCGTGATGATGTGGTAAACATATGTTGATATTGCACATGTAAGCTATTGTAAGCACGCTTATATATGAACTTACATTATATTGAATTCTTGTATAGGCACGATAGGTCTGTGTCACCATACAAATACTAAGTATTTATATAATCATCTATAATATAGTTCTAATGAGGGCGCCATATGAATTGGAAGCATAACTCGTAAAATATAAGTGCTACTTAATCTCCTCATTTATTAAACCTACGTGGTAACAATATAGTTTAATATATATATATATATATATATATATATATATATATATTCATTAAAATTAAGTCTCTGACTATGGAGTTTTTTTCTTTCTTTATTCTTACACCCAATGAATACATGAGGTACTGTACCTAATATACCTAAGTACACATGACCTACACTATTTTCTTCTACGTAACTGAAGCCTATTTACTCTATAAATAATGCTCTCCATAATATATTTTCTTCATGCTATAAACTCATTAAGAATATTAAAAAGTTAAGAGAGTGATAGGACTCGCGATGTTCTTGTTTGAGGATTATAGTTCTATATTTTAACATCACTAAGACATTTTTCCCCCCTGCCAAATGTGTCGAGCTTCTCCGATGGTACCACCTCTCCTCTCCCCGATACCCATAAAAAGACATGCATTTCAAATTGGGTCCTCGGTCCCCGGAGAGAGGGGTGTTCCCACTGGCCCCGTGTAATTCTATCCGCTGGTCTCATTGTGTTTTAGGATGAACAATTGAATTTGAATGAGGAGCGCCTCAGGCCCTGCGTGCAATATTAGCCATGTGCATGTTAAAGCCAGGCCCCAGATAACAGCAGTGGCTCCAGAAATTTGCCAACAAGGGGCCCGTACGACGTCCAACGGAGGGGAATAGAATAGATTGAATAGAGCCTCGGTCGAGGTCTCGGAATAAAAAAAAAACCCTCGTGATTGTTGACAGGGAAAGTTTCATGGCTTTGTATGATCCAAACTGTGCTTTCAGACCACTATATTGGGGTTGGCAATCAAAATAACGTTATTTGGATAGGCAAATTATTATTATTTTTATTTTTGGCTCGACGACCATGTCGTAGGGACGGACGCCAGGGGTTCCAGGCTTGTCCGACGGTGGGGAATGCCCCTCCTCCATCACGCTGGAACCACCAGTGCCAGAGAAGAAAAAATGATATGTTGTACAACCGATAGTAGAAAAAGAGTGGTCATGCCCCTTTTTCTCCAGTTTGTAAATATTAAAAAAATCTGTAGTTAACCGTCCCAATATTTTGCCAAAACTCTTTTTGTGTCTTACAAAAATCAATTGTACAACATACCATTTTCCCTCCAGAGCTTGAGTATGAATATGCCTACCAACGTTTGTCATATAATCCAGTTACATGTAACACTACATTGATAAATTGACACTGAACAAGTTTATTAAACTTAACCGTTACAAGAAACGAAGATAAATATAGACAAATTTATTTTCTTGATATATCCTCTATCAAATTGCACACACTGTATATTAAAGTATTTTTTTTAAATAAGCACCTTAATAGTAATAGGCCTAAATTTAAGTTTTGAAGCTAAAAACCAATAATAATTAAAAGGGTGAAATTTCATTCGATATATCAGCTGCAAAAGAGAAAGATATGATTGCATTTTTATTATTAATACTATTATTATCTTTATCATCATTATTAATCATTTTTGTTCTTGTGTATAGTATTTCATACATTTGTTCATTTTCCTTGGGGATATTACTATTATTACTTAAAATGATAATTATTAGAAGTAATAAAATAACTTATGCATAGATAAACAATAAATAATATAAAATGACAACTTATTCTGAAAACTATATTAAAGTGGCCATCTCACCAGCTGACGTCATTGTGGTGATCATTATGCACTGGCCATCGTACGACTGGGTGCTAGAGGGCGTACGGTATTACCTAATTGAGAACATACTTTCAGAATGTTGGAATATAAAGTCCCAACTACATAACGATAGAGATTTAAATCGCGGTATGCTAGCCTAGAACTCGATATCATAAAACATTTCATATAAATGTTAAGCTTATCATAAACATTAATATTAGGCATTTTATAGTAGTCAGAAATCTCATAACTCATCATGCCTAGGCCTGTTGCGTCACAATAAATTCCCGGGTATTAACAATATCTAGGGCCTCTAGACCTATGGAACACGGTTATCTTCATGATTCCACCAGTCCACAGTCTGCAGTAATCAGCGTAGGTACTGAACCCTAGATAACCACTTTTCATCCACTCGATTCCTGGGTCACGGGTGGATGAAAAGAAGCACGCAACCTTGTTCCACGCAATAATAAAAGGAGGGGTCAGTATTGAACCATTGATCTCTGAATTAGAAACCAAAGCTTTACCACTACGCCAAATCCTTCTACCCCATTAAGATAAATCGCACTGCCGGGGTAGGTATACGTGAACCACATTTTCGCGTCCATAGGCCGTACCTATAGTAAAATATTTAGTTTTCTCTTTATAATACGTACACTTGCTCATTGTAAGTGTTTGTCACGTTGTATTGACGTTGGAGACAGCCTCAGTTACATAACTTCCATTTGATAATGTACAAGTCCATGCAGGCGGTGATGAGGCGCTCCTGCTGGCAACGGGTGTTGACGATGTGGAGGGAGACGAGAAACTCTCAGGACTAGAAACGTGAGCATTGTGAAGTGCCTCTGTAATTTGTAATAAGTTGTCTGTTTTTCCAAGTAGATAATGGTCTTCTTTATCCAAATCATCCTTTATTTGGCACAGAGAAGAGAAAAGAACATAAAAATAATAAAATCATAACTTAGTTGATTGCATAAATGAAGAAATACGGTACAGTACTTATAATATACCAGCAGAATATAGCACGTACTTTCCATGCTGGTTAATAAACATATATACATGTTTTGATTTAGCATGTGACCATTTCATTGTTTGTACATTTTTCCAATCTTAACATGACTGACTGCATTTTACACAGCCACAAGCAATGTTTTAAAGATGAACGAAGCACCTTAAATTGGGCCTAAATTTTCCCATCCACCGACAACATTTCGTTGTTTTATACGATAATGATCTTGATTAAGTGTTAATACATTAATGATTAACCACCACAATTACACTGCTGACGCCCAGGGTAATCTTAGTTTATCAATGGTTGTCTTCATGCTGGTCTGAGGCCTAGCGTACAACATGTAGCTTAATAGCTGTCACATTAACATTAATTGTAGTACTGCCATGTCGCCATTAAAAGAGAACGTAATTATAGCTTAAAATATAAAGGTTTGATTCTGTGTATATTTAACTAGCGCCTCATGTCCTACGATATGTATTTCATTATCGAATTATAATAACAAAGAATATGCGTGAAACCATATACTTACCAACCGTTGTATTAAGGCCTTTGTTGATATTTTCCCTTTGTTCAATTTTGATTTCGAAGAGCGCCGTTTACTGGATGAATTCGGTGGAATAGAAAATCGATTCTTACTTTCGTTCATTGCTTTTTTTCATATAAAAACACGATATATCTACATTAAAATTATGTGACAGCTAAGCCTGTTCATATTGTGTACTTGCCTTGCAAAGGAAGCCGTGACAAAGCAGCCTTCTCGCGACACGTCACAGGCAAACAGTCCTCCGGAAGGATGACAATTATGCGCTTGACATTGCAATAATGCGAGGCTTAGTCGTTATGATCATAACTGGCGATCGATATGAAGTGACGTGTATAGATTGCTCACGTATTAGACACATTCTACTAGTTTAATGCAAAGTCGTAGGTCAAATTGACCTTATCAATTAGAAAGTCATATAGATAGGTGTCGATATCGCATGTTGTTTACAGTTTTCTTCAACATGTGGTTTTTACCAAGGAGTAACAGCAATGAAATTAAATAGGGGTGCTCCCCTCGCTGGGAGTGCATAACCACCTCGGCCCCAGAGAGAGTTGAGCAAGTTTTAAGTCTTTTTTTTCAAATCTTTATTCAAGAAAGAAACATCGAAACCGCAGCCTTGCTGCTGAATTGCACGATATTTGCAAGTTAAATACCACAATAAATTAAAAATTAAGAAATTGCATCAATCGTGGTGGAAGAAGGGTGGGTGGGGACTAGGCACCTTGATAGCCGGATATGACATTATTTGTCTGTAAAAATTGTTATTGTTTTTTGGGGTTTTTTTTCAAAGCACTAATTTCAGACGAACTTCTTCCCCGACGGGGTCCATCGTCCGGTTCTCGGGGCCCTAATCCCCCGTAACTGAACTGGCGCGCGCCACCATAGTTTGTGTTAAGTTGAAGGTTGAGTTGAAAAACCGGGCACATTTTTTGACTTAGGGCCTACTTGAAAACCTCACTTAAGTTTGCATTATTAATCATCAATATCTTAACGATATAAGTGAATCACATCAGCTAAATAAATAATGTATATTTTGTACAATTATTCTTCTTTTACCGCAGGAACAACGCATACGGTGTATGCGTTGTAATTTATGTACGTATGTTTGGATGCATGGGTAATTATTATTCATAAGATTATTTTACGTAGTCCCAGGACGTTATGAATTCCAGGCCTACCCCTTTGCTTTCTGGTGGTTGCCTTAGGCATATCGTTACTCTGTCATGGGTCTGGATTTAATGTACTGTATACTGCAATTATCTCACTGGGATGTGTTGTTTATATGCGACAGTGTACGTCGATCGGCGTGCAATATCGTACTATTTTTTGCTTGTTTTTATTTTATATTCTAGATAATTATTACTAACTACAAAACAGTAATACCACCGGCGCTGTGGCTTAGTTGGTTAAAGCGCCTGTCTAGTAAACAGGAGATCCCTGGTTCGAATCCGGGCAGTGCCTAAATGTTTTTGTATTCATTTTGTTTATGATAAAGTACCGGTAACATCACATTCTATTCCAATCTAAGTAGGCCTATTTTACATTTTTATTAGTAAGTCTTCATATTATTTTCTTGGAAGAAACGTATACGATATTATAATTACAATAACCAGCAACTGAAATCAAAGTCACTCATTATTATGGTTGAACACCTCCTGTTTTGAGCATTAATCGAATAACATCAAACCACCTAATGCCACCGTGATTAGTTAGTTGAAGCGTCTGTCCCCGATGAGAACTAAGTGGGCGTGGTCAGGCGTTCGTTCTGCAGTATTACATAATCACACAATTTTAAATCTAATAATATCGGCCTACCTGAACTTTTACACTGTTAATATCCACTTATACACATTTCTGTTTTAAAGAGGATAAATTTAAAGAAATACACGACTATAACTTAAGCTAGTTAAGTATTTTTAGGGGGTGTTTATTCGAGGAAAATATAATCGTCTTGGGCGTTTTTGCGAGGGGGAATTTAATCCAAATGAGGTTCTAGGGGGGTGTTATTAAAAGCGGGGCGTATGTATGTATTACATGTACCTTGATAAACTAAGTAATGAAATAGCAATGACAGTTCTGGTGCCATGATAAAAATAATATATTACTTAGATCATGAATCGCTGTGATTTGCAAGGTACTACATGGCTCAACTATTTTTTACTTAGGAGTTATTGGTAAAAATCGCACACAAATCATACGACGTCACTGACAACGCCGGGGACGGCAACTCGATTTTGAGATTAATTTTCCGAATAACTTCTAATGACAAACTATTGTCTTCAGTTGTCTTTGTTGGTCATCCAACGCTCATTTTATCTTTTTTTGGTGATATTACTATTCTCAATAATCTATAAAACACCCACATAACAACGTCACGTTAGATCGATCGGTGGGGACGCCGTGGTAACGCCCGGTAGGGTCAGTTTCCGCTGGAAGGTATCAAGATGATAAACAGTTTCATTGAACTAAATTCTTGCTTATGTTAACCGCATGCTTGACTAAGATTATACTCACACTGGTTTCAAATAACGGTCAAGTAGATAAAAATCACCTTATTTTGCGAATTAACGCCCCTCAACTGATCCTCGAGCCCCACCCCCCACTTCACCTTCGCCCCCCTCCTATCATTCCCCATTTCAAGACATCTAGATACGCCACTGATTTTCATGGCCAGATGAATGAAAATACCCAATCGATGTACCACCAAATCGTAACCAGCCTTCACCATGCCCTCACGAGGTCACCGGGGACGCAACTGCTAAATAACTATTTGGCAGCGAAGGGACGTTACCAGTAAACAATCAACAAACTACCGGGTTTCTGGGTGATTTGCAAGGTACTACATGGCTCAACTACTTTTTACTAGGATTTTATTGATAAAAATCGCACACAAATCATACGACGTCACTAACAGCGCCAGGGACGGCAACTCGATTTTGAGATTAATTTTCCGAATAAAGTTATACTAAATAACTTCTAATGACAAACTATTGTCTTCAGTTGTCTTTGTTGGTCATTCAACTCTCATTTTATCTATTTTTTTGGTGATATTATCATTCTCAGTAATCTATAAAACACCCACATAACAACGTCACGTTAGATCGATCGGCGGGGACGCCATATTGACGCCCGGTAGGGTCAGTTTTCGCTCGAAGGTATCGAGATGATAAACAGTTTCATTGAACTAAATTCTTGCTTATGTTAATCGCATGCTTGCCTAAGATTATACTCACACTGGTTTCAAATAACGGTCAAATATTTAAAGATCACCTAAAATCACCTTATTTTGCGAATTAACGCCCCTCAACTGATCATCGAGCCCCAACTTCACCTTCGCACCCCCCACCTATCATTCCCCATTTCAAGACATCTAGATACGCCACTGATTTTCATGGCCAGATGAATGAAAATACCTAATCGATGTACAGTACAACCAAATTATAACCAGCCTTCACCATGCCCTCACGAGGTCACCGGGGACACACTGCTAAACAACTATTTTTGGCAGCGAAAGGACGCTACCAATAAACAATCAACAAACTACCGGATTTCTGGGTTGATTTGCAAGGTATTACATGGCTCAACTATTTTTTACTTAGGGGCTAATTGATAAAAATCGCACACAAATCATACGACGTCACTGACAACGCCGGGGACGGCAACTGATTTTGAGATTAATTTTCCGAATAAAGTTATACTAAATAACTTCTAATGCGATCAATTGTCTTTAGTTGTATTTGTTGGTCATTCAACTGTCATTTTATCTATTTTTCGGTGATATTACCATTTCAATAATTTTTAAAACACCAACATAACAACGTCACGTTAGATCGATCGGTGGGGACGCCGGTAGGGTCAATTTTCGTCGGAAGGTATCAAGATGATGAACAGTTTCATTAGACTAAATTCTTGCTTATGTTAACCACATGCTTACCTTAGATTATGCTGACACTTGTTTCAAATCACGGTCAAGTAGTTAAAAATCACCTAAAATCACCTTACTTTCCGAATTAACGCCCCTCAACTGATTATCGAGTCCCTCTCACCCATTTCATTCAAGACATCTGGATACGCCACTGCGGTTGGGTTCCAGGGGCTCCACTCCCTGGAAGCCACGGATATTAGACGAATTATGGCGAAATTCAAATTTCAAATCCTCTTTCTTCAAAGTGAAATTCTACAGTTTGGAAATTTTGCACGAAATCTGTCAACCACGATGTCAAGGTGGAGGTTGCTTCCCCTATTGCGATGTGTTCCAATGAGGCTATCCAAACGAGCATTTGTCATAACAGAACGCAAATTATTTTTAATTAGTTTCATTGAACTATTATTATTATTATTATTTATTATTATTATTATTATTATTATTATTATTATTATTATTATTATTATTATTATTATTATTATTATTATTATTATTATTATTATTATTATTATTATTATTATTATTATTATTATTATATTATTACATTATTATATTATTATATTATTATTATATTATTATTATCATTATTATTATTGTGATGAAAACTTAACACAAATAGTTCAATAAAAACAATATGGTGGTAACGAACATTACATGTAAACATTTTTTTTATTTTATTTATTTTGTTTATTCCCTGACAAAATTTATCACTGGATTCAAAAATCTGCCTTATCCCTTGCTGTGCCATTTTCCTTAGGTGAATAGACCATAATTGTAACTTTAGAGCACTGGTGAATATTTATTACTTCGTAATTTGCATAACGAATTATTTATAAACCATGGCTTCCTATGATGTCATTTTTTTTATATATAATGGCACTCGACCTCAACGGTTATTTATATATAATTGGAAGTAAAATCCATTACAGGGTATTTAGATAGGCCTATAATGACCTTCTTGACACGATAACACGTGTGCATTTAATGAGTTTGAAGTCCAAGCATTATATTGGTTTTGTGACAGCTATTACTTATATATAATGAAATGTAAAAGCAGTTAGGCCTATTTATAAATAATGAGTTTGAAGTCAATTCGTTATTTATATATAATGAAATCAGTGAACTTATTATATATAAATATTATTTATATATAATGAAACCAGTAACCTTATTATATATAATGTTTGGTTAGCCTTTCATTATTTATATATAATATAATAAGTAAACTAATTATATATAAATATGAAACGTTAACGCAACTATTTACATATGATCTTTTAGACGTAAAAGTATTGTATATAAATAATGGGTGATTTATTCAACTATATGTTGAATAATGAATTATATATAAATAATTGTGTTAAATATATTAAATAATAAATTTAAATAATAAATAATAAATAAATAATAAATAAATAATAAATTAAATAATAAATTTACACTTGGCGCCTTATATATTTTTTGACATTGGCCTTTAAAATACTATAAACACAATCGGCTATAACGGATCATATGACGCAAGTAAATCACATACCAGACTGGGAGAACATCAATATCTTACATAAAGAACAAGGGTGGCTAACACGGAAAATTAAAGAATCAATATGTATTAGGAGAAATAACGCTACAATGAATAGTGACGAAGGCGTACATCGCCTCTCACACTTATATGATCAACTATTAAAGACGGCTGGAGCGGCCCGCTACCATCGAGCATCGGCGGAAACCCTTCACAGATTCTGACGAAGCCTGACTGATAGCCAGGCGGAACTGTCAACAACAAAAAACAGTGAGTAATATTTGTTTTATCACAAGGAATTTTACATATTTACTATAAACACACTTTTTTGGGATGCAAAATTAAATTAGATATAGACCTATAAAATTAAACATACAAAGACATAACTGAATTCTTAAATAACCATTCACTTTATTGGACGAAAGCTTCATATTCATAATATATTCACATATTCTCAATAATCATTTTATTTATATTATCTACATGTTGATACCTACTTCATTATTACTCAGCAATAACACGCTGAGATATAGTAGTTTTTGATACTCATAATAATTCAGATTGATTCATTTAATTTAATTATTTTTTTCGCGATGATCGTTGAAAGCACTTGGTGCATATTCATATTTCTGTACATTTACAATATTGTCTTGTCTAAACCTCATGTTGATTTGATAAAATTGTCTATCAATATTTGAAAGGCTTAGATAGGTCTAAATCACTTTTGTTCAGGGCACAATTTTTGTCACGTCAATCACCGATACTCAGTAAATATTGCTCCGTGTGTGAACTGGACCATTTATGCTGCTCACAGTATATAAATCGGCCGTCTTGCGTCATCTAGAAAATATATCATAAATATTGTGTAAAACGCAACATGGCAAGGATTCAAACATAAAAATTAAACCATCAAAATAAAATGTAATTTATCCAAATATCAAATTTTAAATGAATGTCCTTAATTTCGTCGGTGTGCTCTTATTATTTTGTCAGAAAAATACAGGTAAATAGTAATAACAGTGCTCGAATAGGAACAGGCTTTAATAATATCAACGAAAGGTTACTTTATTTCAAAACTAGGAAAAAGGGTGCCTCTTGCGGGATGAACCTGTCACGTCCCGCTATCAAGGCAAGGTTTTTACACACTGGTGACTTTAACAATATAGGATTATCAATGTCGTCATATTGCTATCTGAATAATAAAAGAATGTTGACTGTTTTTTTTTCAATTCAATTTCTTTTATTGCTACGAAAACCATCGTGGTTAAATATCCGCTTAAACCCATGCAAGGTTAAGGGAAGTAAAAATAGACGAAAAGTTTAACATGTAGGAATGCAAAGTCCCATAAAAGTTTATGAAATCTAATAATTAATTGATAAGCAAAAAGCAAACTCACCAATACTTTGCACCAATTTGATTTGTCCATCTTGATCGCATTCATACATACGCCGAGCCATGATGTTATTCAGAAGCCTGGTTCTAAATAAACAATGTTCTGGAATTGAAAGTGGAGATCTCATTGGCGAACAAGATCCGTTTGGCGAACGTACGTGTCCAGTTGTTGCACAAGTCGATGGTGAAGGTTTAAATTTCTTTACACTAAGATCAAGTGGTTCATTATCCAAAGATGGTCGCTTTCGACTAGGCCTATGTGTTGTAGTGGAAAGATCAACTGGATATTTGGTAACATTCGGCATAAGATAAACACTGGGGTTGTATTCAACCTGATGATAAACCAAACTCACTGCAGCTTGAGGTGATCTTGTATTTTGATGATTGTTGTCAAATCTTACATTGGGTTGAGATGTAATTTGCACGCCTGATGAACCAACCATCAATTCCCGTACATATTTCTGATAACGTAATTTTAAGTCCACCCAACCTTTCCCCATTCCTTTACAGTGTTTACAATCTTCATTCATAATCCAAAAGTTATCTTTTCCTGAAGGCCTGTCGGGATGACGTGGAACTTTCTTGAAACAATCGTTGATACTCAAAGTATGACGCACACTGTTCTTCCATCCTTCATAACCCCCACGAAGGCAATAAAAAGCTTTTGGCATGAAATTTGTAATGTTCTGTAGCGTCATCATGGTATTGGGATTCGACACAATGGCAAAGGTAATCATCTCGATGTAAGAAAACGGTGACTTGACACGCCTCATATAGTCTGGTCGTGGACGCTTTCGCTTATTGACTTTCGGTGCTTCGGTCGGTGATTCAATTTTTATTCCCTTTGTAACACATTTAACATCATCAGAATCCTGAGGCTCCACCAGTTTAACAGAAACACTATCTGGAACAGCTTCATGAACGGTGGAGTCTGGCGAGGCAACCACGTTCATATTATTCAATACTCCTGCCATATTCAATATAACTAGTGTCTGTCTCTTAGTCAACAACTCAAGTAGCTAGTAAAGATTATACAAATTACCACAGTTTATAAACACATAGGATTTGGATCTCACCTTGTCGAAATGTAATGTAATTGGTCAAATTAAAAACAAAGGCTATTGTTTCAATCGTTACATAGTTTGGGAGTTTAACAAGCGTGCTGCCAACGTGAATACAAAGGGAGTTTACTAGCGTTGGAGTCAAATTGTTTGAATATTTTTCATTGAATTGCACTGAGGGCGTGGATGAAGCCACGCGCTTTTGTTTCTTATTATTCATTACAAAGCTTGATTTTCTAACACCTTTAAGCACATAATGTACGTGTTAAAATTTGTATTGATACAATTACTGTTGAAATCATTTATTACAATGTCAGCCTTTTATATGGTGGACTCATTATATTGGTTATGTTTGGGAAATAGTATTTCAGATAGGACAAATATTTGGAATTCATAATTGTAGTATAGATATCGGTTTAAATTATAATTTTTAACGAGGTAGACGAGTCTTTGTATTAATTACAATACTATCAGAAAACTAATTGCAATTTTAACTCAACCTATTTACTTATATTATTAATATTTATTATTATTTATTTTATTATTTTTATAAATTTGGTTTTTTTGTAAACCCATTTTTATATATATATTTCTTTCTACTGCAGTTTTTTCTTGCTATATTTAATCACAGTAATTAAGTTTATACTGATTTTGTTATTGTTGCCCATCTTTTACGGTTGTGCCTCTGTTATAAAAGAGAAGCAATAAAGTTACTTACTTACTTAAACATAAGTTTGTTAACAATGTAAAGAAAGTACACAACACAGTGGATCAACAGGTAGGCCTATTGTAACTCGAAATAAGCACCAAGTGATGTCAACGATTGAGTTTAAATTACTGTACTAGATCGAATTATTTATTATTATGAAGATTCGGAAGGTGGATATCGACATATAGATAAAGTAAAAACAAATTATTACAAATATGTGTAATAAATATGAAGCATTCGTTCAGTAAACGTCTATATCACATGAACTAAATATAGCAGACAGATATATTTATTTATTAGTAGTACATAATGCTTGTCGAAGACGACGACAATGATGATGGATGATGACGTTAAGTAATTTTTAGTAAAACGGCATAAAATATTTTATCCTTCTTTTCAAGCTTATAAGTTATTTATTTCGTTATGCCCCGGGATTGGGATAAATAATATAACAACTTGTAACTTGGTCCAGTTATAAATTTGTTTACATTTTACTCAACCGATATGATGCTTCCAAATTATTTATCTAAATCCAGTATCAAATATAATAAGACACGACCTAGTACCTTCAATTCTGCATAGTAAAAGTATGCAGTACAAAGGAGGTAGTCAAAAACAAACTAAAAAAGTTCCAATAAATAATGGTTTTTATTTGCCTTTAATATGAGCGTGGAGGTGTAAGACGACCAGGTCGTTTCGGCCCTGAGTCGTTTTGGATTGGAGGTATGAAATACAGCATACTTCTTTGTTTTAAGAGTGAACACTCACATTAATTGTTAATGTGTATTTTTAAGTGGCGCTGTGGTCTATAGTTGTTTAAAGTGCCTGCCTAGTGAACAGGGAATCCCTGGTTCAAATCTGGGTAGTGCCTACATTCTTGTTGCTAGATTAAATAATAATAGTTTTATAGTAGGCCTAACTCTGGTTCACAATCAGCTTTCTTTTCAATCTAAATGTTATATCCCTTCATATGGATCGTCACAATGATCTATTTGAAGATATAACGTATAATGAATAGTTACCAAGTGGCGCTGTGGCTTAGTTGGTTAAAGCGCCTGTCTAGTAAACAGGAGATCCCCGGTTCAAATCCGGGCAGTGCCTTAGGCTTCTCATTTTGCAAATCAAAAGTTTTATATTTCCTTCTAGTTCACTCTTACCTTCTATTCCAACTTAAATATTTTATTGTTATATTATTACTATTATTATTATTATTATTATTATTATTATTATTATTATTATTATTATTATTATTATTATTATTATTATTATTATTATTATTATTATTATTACTACTATT